AAAAAACAAACAAAAAAGGGCTAGAGAGATAGCTCAGATAGCTCAGCAGTTAAGGGCACTAGCTACTCTTCCAGAGGACATAGGGTTGGTTGGTTCCCAGCACCTACATGGGTGCTAACACCTATCCATAACTCCAGTTCCATGGGTGACACCCTCTTCTGGCCTCTGCAGTCATTGTATGACATGGCTATACTTAACATACATGCAGACAAAACACTCATACACATTAAATGATAAAAACAAAACCACTGCCTTATTCTAGCATGCCAGTGCTCACATCCACCCAGAGAGGTGAGTATGAAAACTCATTTGCATACTAGAAAACTAAGCCTTTCAGAACTTATCAGGAGCAGGCATCTCCCATCACCAGTCCAGATTCCAGACTAGAAATCAAACTGGGAGGAGTGAGGCTGGGCCCACAAGCCTTGAGTTAGCTTCTAGTCTTTCAAAGGAGGATGATTGGACTCAGTGGTGGAGTACTTGCCTAGTATGCACAAAGCCCTGGGTTTGAGTCCCAGCATTATAACTGGGCTTGATGATGCATGTCTGTAAGGAGGGTCAAAAGCTCAAGGTCATCTTTGAGTATGTAGTGAGTTGGAGGTTACCCCCTCAACAACAGCAAAAGGAGGTTAGCTGTTCTGCCTGTCTCCCAGTATTCCTATAGAAACCAGAGAAAAGGAAAAGAAGATGTTAAGGTCCCTAGGCCTTCATCGGTGTTGAAAACTTGGAGTCCCCTAGATTTGCCCTGCCCTGTGAGTCAAGGGCAGGTTGCCCCTTACTGATCCTACCTTCTTTTTCTTTCCTAGGGTTTAACAGGAGCCAAGGGGGAGCCTGGTCCCATGGGGACCCCTGGAGTCAAAGTAAGTGGCCTGTTGGGTGCTCATTGAAGACAAGGCCAGAGTTTGGAGGGACTGCAATAGAGGGGAGAAGGGACCCAAGAAACCCCAGTCTCTGAGCCTCTCCCATTGCTTCTGCAGGGCCAGCCTGGACTCCCAGGCCCCCCAGGCCTGCCGGTGAGTACCACCTACCAAGAGTGTGGAGGGACCCTCTGAGGGTTGGGAAAGCCTGCAGGGTGAGCTATGAACACAATTTCCTTTCCTTCTGTTGCAGGGCCCTGGTTTCGCTGGACCTCCTGTAAGTCCTAAGGGGTAGAGCAGGGGACCC